CCTTGTTGACAATGGCCATGAAATCTTCAGTCTTCCTTCCAAGTAATCGAGCACCTCAGTAGGCAAGGTATAACTTGTATAGAGTAACTGAAAACATTTGGTTTTGGAAAGAACAAACCTGACTAAACATATCTGTTCACCAATTCTGACCTTCTGCAGACACTGAGACGAGATGAGCTTGAAACTTGGAACAGTAATCTGTGGCCACCTGGTTAAAAAAATCACAAAAGAATGATGTTATTAAAAGCATTAAAATTGGAGTGCTAAAAAGCAGACAGATTTTGAGTTGTTTGAACCACATCACCAGAATAATATGTCAAAATCAAGAAAAAGTTATTTACATACCCAAGGTACACCAGTTTCCAATACATCCAATACGAAATGTAAAAATTTCTGATGAAGCTATTAGGTTGATCAGGGATTTATAGCATCACTGGATCAGTAGATCTAGTTGTACTCAAATGTATCCTTTTCTTTTCCTCTTAACCATTTTTGTTTTTCCACCCCTACTGCAGGGAAATAGTTAGGGAAGAAATGCTAATGCTCATCACTTTAGGCAATATTAGCAAATTACTTCAAAAACATTTCAAGAGCCAAAAGGATGAACAGTATTTGATTCACCCAAGTTGTCCGGTTGTGTCCCCAAATGTCACTAGCTTAGAGTACAGCAGGAAAGAAGCCTCCTTGCATAGTATCATGTTACCTTCATTTGGAAAGCAATACCAAAGTGCTTAATGGGATCAACATTACTGTTGTAAATGTAACCACTGAGCTACAGCTCAAACATATCAGATGGTGCTCCTTTAATAGTTCGTGGTAGCAAAAGCAGATGTATCTCTACCCAATTTTGTTTCCCAGTTGAGATAATTTGTTCAGAACATGTTACAAAATTCAAAAGGTAATACACCCAAGATTAAATTAAGCATGATCACATGTCATTAAGATATTGAGCAGAAACATATTTTTCTGGAAGAAACATTTACCATTTTGGATACAAGCCCGCCTCCCACGAGATGCATAGGCCTGCAAGAGAACAAAAAGACCATTTGAAAGTTCTCAAAGACAATCAACATAGAAGGTGGCACTCAACCTCATGTGCATTTAACATGGAAGAAGAGGGAGATCAGTTCAGCAAATAAATATAGCTTACAAACATCTAAAGGCCCATCCACATAGCCTTCAACAAGTAGGGTATGAAATGGAGTGCCTTCTGGTCCTTCTCTATACATAACGCGAAATTCTTCAGTATCCTGTTTCACCTGACAAAATAACAGTATGGTAATAACATCATTATCACACTTCTTATCACCAGATTGAAAAGTGCAAGCATTATGAATAAAGGTATACTTTCCAACCACGATGTGAGGCCTCACTGTACTTTGACCTCTGAACATCATCCACAGAGGCACTGCTTAACATTCCAAGAAAATGTGAGACTTCTTTGGTTCTCGTTTCTGCAATATTGTTGATAAAATCTACAAAGCATAAATATCAATATTTAGTACCATTTAGTTGCAGAAACTCTAAAGTGAGATAAACTATTGGAACTTAAAATGTCGAAAGAGAAGTTTCTAACCTTCATTCTCCACTTCTGATGAACGTAAAATTTGATCCTTAACAAGTGTCCCTAGTGTCTCCACATCAGTAAGATCATGACAAGAAAGTGTCTTATCCAGCCTATCCCGGTAAAGTGAGATGCTACTGTCCTCCCTCATTTTGTGCCTCACCAATTAAAAGGTGATTTTCTTCCCAATCCTTAAGAGGCAAGACAAATACAGCCAAGAAGAATTATTAACATTTCATTTGAACACTACAGCACATGACTCTACTTGCCACATAATGTTAAACTACAATGTGCCTTTGTTCTACTTCTTCCCCACAAAAGCAGAAATGATGATTCTCGCACCCCTTTTTCTTAAAAGGATAAAATAAAAATTATTTTTATTTTTCTGAAATTAGGACAAGAAAAATCAAAAAGCAAAAAAAGCCTAAAATAAGACTGCGCAAAGGCGATGGATTTAGGCCCACTAGAGTTTAGCAAAATGCCTTTCCAAAATTTTGGAGTTGTCGCTCTTTATTGAGTTTAGGTGTCCAAGTCACCTAAAAAGAGAATTTTTTATTTTTGAAATGCAAATTAAATCCCTTTAATTAGGCAACTATAGATCTTTCGAAATTAGAGAAATGAGTTTGGGAGCTACATTTGTGAGGAGATAAGGTCGAGATTTTACCCTCAAGCACCTCCCTATACCCGACAAATCCAGTTGCGAGTTTAATTATATTCTTTTAATTTAAGGCCAATGTGACTTAATCTATGCTAAACACATAACATGCATTGAATTAATATCGAAACAAATAAAAACATGCATGACACATAAAAGTGAAATAAAGCAAAAGATTAGTTCCAAGGCTTTTGTTGGAAAAGCCAAGGAATAACACGCTCTCGCACACTCGATCGTGTACCACAAAAATGAAAATTAATTAAGGAAAAAAATAAAAGAAAAGCAAGAAAAAGAAAAAATAAAATCACAAACATAAAATGCACCTATGCCCCATATGGGTTACGTCACTTCTAAGAAATAAAAAATATATTTATAACTAATTACAACTTGACAAATGAAAAGAAAAAAAAAATGCTAACTAGACTAATCTAGTCCTTGGACTTAATTGAAAGGTTCTGAATAAGTTCTGGAGTCAAATTACAAAGTCTTAAAATTTGAGGTAAAATCAAAAAAGCAAGGCAAAACTGGGGGACTTAAAATTTGAGTTCCAGGCGCTACTGCTGCCTTGCTTTCATTTCCAATGAACCTCGTTGGACAGCGGCGGCGTCGGACCACTGCCTTGTCTCTCTCCTCCCCACAAGCAAACACACAATGCACACTGAAATTCTCACCAAAATGCAGAAAAGTAGCAAATCGAAAAAACGAAAAATCAATACCAAAATCTCTAGCTTCTCTCTCGGCCCTCTTGGTTTTCCAGCCTCACTCAGGGGTTCCGGCCAGCATTGGATTGACCAGAATCATCTATCTTGCAACCACAAAGACTCAGCAGATTCTTTTTCCTATTTTGGCTCATAATTTCCTTTTGGGCATATTTACAAACAAAAATCAAGCTTTTATGCAATTTAAAGCAATCAGGCCAGAAACTTTTCAGAAACACAACAAATTTCAGTCATTCATAATCATAAAACAATTAGAAACATGAAAGGATGCTAGCTTAAGCGAGAAGGCAAGCAAGAGGCATGTAGTTCACACAAATATCAGAAATTATAACAGATAAGATAGAAGAGTGACACAGCTTTACAGTGTTGTTCCGGTGAAGATTTGCGACGGGAGAGGTGGTATCGGTTCCGGCGGCAAAGATGGTAACTTCTTTCTCCCCTGCTCGCCGATGAACTGTGCTTGTCTTTTCCTGATTTTTGTTTCTATATTCTGATTTTTCTTTTTTATGTTTTATTTTAAAATTTGAGATCTAGAAGTTTGGCAAGACCTTTAGGAGACTATTTTTCTTTTTCTTTTTTTTTCCTTTAAAAGAAGAATGACGGGATTGATGAATTGATGAACGAAAAAAGGACGTCTCGGATCACAAATGATATGGGTCCCAAGGCCTCTATTCTTGGTTTTCTGTGAAAATTAGGCTGATGAACCGCGTGCGAGCGTTTGCGCGTTGGGGTGTGAAGTTCGAGTGTGTGAGCGGGTGTGTACTTGAGTGCTAAACTGCTGCGCGGCAAAGATAAGGAGGAGTCGTTCTCTTTGTTTACTTTTTGGAAAGAGTCCGCGAGAATCACAAAGATAACTATCGTTATATTGGTCAAAATTTGGGGTAATGTACGGGTTGAGGTGTATTGTACGTTGCATGCCTCGTTAATGGTATCGGTTAATGACATCTTGCCCTCCTAAGACTAGGGGTAACAGCATAACCCACCCCCCGCCCTTCAATATCTCCTTACATACATATATATCCTTACATATACATAAGAAGCACTTTGTCTTTCTACAGTGGTGCTTTTTTCAACCGCAACTCTGCTTCCACGGCTTGTACTTTCGGCTGTTGCTCTTTGCTTCAAACTCTTGTACATTCATTGAACTGGGCAATCAGCACGTACGAATTTGGATTGTTTTTTGTTCTGACGCTTTCAAGAAGCACTTTGTCTCTTTGCTTCGAAACTCTTGTACATTTATTGAAATGGGCATTCATCACGCGCGAAATAAGTTTCATTTTCATATGTCTGAATACTTCTTAAAAATATATTCTATCACAAATTTTTGAAAACACTGTCAAAAATAACTTATTGAAATGGGATTCATATATCTCTTTATATATATTTGTATATATTAATAAGTACATGGATAATTACAATTATAGATCATAATTATCTAAAAATTCGTTTGATTTTTTTAAATTTTCAAAAAATATTTTTAAACATATTTATGTCTGAATACTTCTTAAAAATATTCTATCAAAAATTTTTGAAAACACTGCCAAAAATAACTGATTTAAATGCGATTCATATATATTTTTATCTGTATATCAATACAATAAGTACATGGATAATTACAATTATACATTGCAATTATCTAAAAATTAGTTTCCATTTTTTTAAGTTTTAAAAAAATATTTGTAAACATATTCTACAAACTATTTTATTTTCAATACTTTCTAAAAACATTCTTATAATTTTTTTCAAAAACACTCTTAAAAGTAATTATTATTATTTTAGATTGAATTTATGTATACGTTTATATATTTGTCTATGTGAATAATAATCAATATATATATATAATCTTTAATCAATATATGAATAATAATCTTTAATCAATATAATAAGTATATAGTAGATGCATATAAATCAAATATAAGTACATAGATAAGTGTGATTGTAGATAAGTCCCACTTTTATATATGTTAAAAATGTACAAACACGTGTGCATGAAGAAGTACAACTTATGCAAATACATAGATATAGATAATTGTGATCTCACAGAAATAGATATGCATGATTTGAACTCAAATACTTTTTCAATTTTACGATGCAAACCCTGATATCTAGCTGCTTAATATCTATGCTATGAATCTGAAAAAGGACAGAAGGGACTTTTTATTATGACCTGATGCTAATCTTTACTTAGCTGTCGACCACTGCATTTTCTTCTGTACCAAATATACACATGGTCTTTATGCAACGTCTTTTATATGGTTTGCTTTCCAGATTGTATGAGAATCTCCTAAGCAATTCTCTTCAACTAAATACCTCAAACACCAGGTACTGCAATGTTAGTTGTATCACAAATTTTTTTTTAGTATCTTCTGATATCATTCTGATGTTTTGTTCTACTCATTTCCTTATTGATAGATAAAAAGATCTATGTTTAGTGACTTCAGATTTTTTTTTTAGCTTGCGACAGGTCTGCTTCAGAACTCTGTGCCTTGACTACCGATGGAGGTATTCGTTCACTAGCTCCTTTAACATACTCTTAAGTTTATTCAGTTTATTCAAAGTATTTTGTAACCACTTTTGTAGTTTCTGCTCTGGTATGGTTTACTTATTTCATGCAACGAACTATGCTCTCTTCCCTGCATGCTTATATGGACAATAAAAATCAGTTGCATTAACTAACAAGCATCATGAATTCCTCTGAGTTATATGCACAAAATCATGATCTCAAAATTCGTGAGAAAAAAAATGAGCGAAATAAAAAAAACAGAGAAAAATTTGCTGGTCTTTCTGTCGAACAAAAGGAAGCTCATCGAAGAAAAAATAGAGAAGCGTATCACAGAAGAAAGATGAGCAAACTGTTGTCCAAGACGCTTGATCCACAATCTGTACAACCTACCAAACAGTGCAACATCAAACCATTTGTCAAACCATCCAATACCAATAATGATAATAATGGTACGTATATACTCCAGGACAAAGCTTACAAACATTTTTAGTTTGTAGTTTTTGTGACTAAAAATATGAAACCATGGAAATATTTATTACTATACACAGGAGTGCTGATGCCACAGTTAATTCAGCAGCATCTTCATGACACAGGTATGTATTTTGAGCTTTACCCACCTATTTTTCTCATATTATTGCATTCCTATTCATTTTTTATCTCCTAAACATTCCATTTCTGTTGTTATACTTATATTGACGTTTAAAGCATCAAAAATTGCAGTTGGAATATATAATAAAAGTACGCTTCCTCGAACATCTGATAGAAATGCCACTGGAACTCTTACTTCTAACCTTCAATTACCTGGCTCCAAGAATCAGACTAACACTGGTAAACTTCAACAAAATACCCCTCTGCATCAATATCACAGTAACAATGTTTTCCATATTTTGTATTTTTTTCATTACTCTTAGCTTTACAAATGCATCATACTGGTTTCTCCACACTTAAGCTTGAAAATATCCTGTTTCTCTTCCACATGATACACATACAAATTGTTATTTGCATTTACAAATTGTTCTTGATACCCAAAACTATTATAATAATATGTTTCTTGTTTTTTAATATGATCATCTATTTACTTTTTTCTATGCCACAGATGATCGATTCTGTGTATCCTACCCTGGATCAAAGCTCAAAAGTAGTCTCTTCTGCTTTTCTACTTATGAAGAAGGTATTCATTTCTATCATTTTCATGTAAATATAATTGGTTCTATAACAATTCTTATTTCAGCTACATAACTGTGCTTTTCTCAAATTTCTAAAACTTAGGTAATTCTTCAGCCACCAACCATAAGCATATATGCTCAGATAGTGCCCCACCGCATGACAAAGGTCTGAAACTACTGCAAATAACTTGTTCTTTAATTCTTTCAAATTACTTTCAGCACAAAAATATACTGTTCAATATATGATGCTTTACCATGTTCATCTCACTCTTCCACTATCATTTATTTGCATTGCGTCGACAGCTGAATCTTTCATGTGTATGAACTGCTTCAAATTTCTTCCCCAAAACATAGAAGATGCTTCAGGTACTCTGCACTGCTACAACTTTAGATCTACAAGATTCTACTGATCCGTATTCAACTTCTACATACATTTCTTTTCTTTATAATACCATTGATTGCGCAACTTTGGCTTTCTAGAATTGTTAGCATTTGCAACAGAATATCAAATGAGCCAACAATGCTTAAAATCTATTGCTAAAACACATAAAGGTACAGATACAACCTCGGTTATTAATTTTCATTATCTAATGAGCATCAGATTAAACCTCTGTATATTAGAGTTAATTACGTTCTGTTAATATCCACACAGGCAACAAACGTTCAAGGTCAGGAAAAACTCAGAAATCTCACACCAGAGGTACAAAAACAAAAACTCTTATGAATGTAACATGATATACATTCAAAACTTTTTTGTCATTCTTTTTTTTGTATTCAACAATTACTATCACATTCATTGTACTGTAGGTGAAAAAGTTCCAGATGGAATTGAAGCACTGAAATGCATCAGCAGTGAACCAGACATACTGGCTCCCAAACCAGATTGCAGCTATTGCGAAGCAAAAAAACTTTCTTCTGAAACACCAAATTTCTGCTGTTCTGCTGGTCAGATAGTTCTCCAAGAGAACAAACTTCAAGATATTCTGATAGAACTATATACTGGTCATTCTGCTGAAGCTCTTTCTTTCAGAACATATGTCAGAACATATAATAATATGTTTGCCTTCACTTCTTTCGGAGTACATTATGACAGATCCCTATGCAGAAGAACTAATGGTATCTACACATTCAAAGTCCAGGGACAAACCTATCACTTCATCAAGGATCTTATTCCACATGAGTGCAGGACTGTTTATTTGCAGCTATATTTTCATGATACAGAGCATGAGTTAGAAAACAGACTGGCTACATCAGAGAACCTAACAGAAAGTGCAGTGAAAAAAATTATGCATGTCATGGAATCGAATCCATATGCCTCTTTTCTCCGAAGCTTAAAAAATGTTCCGAATCTCGACTCATATCAAATCGTCTTAAAGTCTCATTCAGAAAATGACCAGAGGGTTTGGAATCAACCAACTGCATCTCAAATTGCAGCCTTGTGGGTAGAGGGCCAAGAATCTGGAGAAGGATACAAAAGGCATATCCAAATCTATACTAAAGAAGGCAAGGATCATCTGGTGCACTACTATTATGGATGCTATGATCCATTGCAGTATCCGCTGCTGTTTCCATTTGGAGAGACAGGATGGCATCCTGGTATAAAAAGAACAGCACCACATAATCCAAACAAAAGGAAAAGATACAACAGAACAGCCAACTGCACTCTTGCTTCTACTGATTGCAAATCTGCAGAAGAACTAATAGCAGCTGAACACCAAGGTATAGCAAAGATTATACTCAATAATTATATTCCTCACTATACAGTTACTATATCATTAGATTGATATTGAATAACATGTTCTACAGCTTCTCACAATCCTGAAAACAATAAAGAGTTTGTATCTATGCGTGAGTATTACGCATACAAGTTGCAGATGCGAGAAAAATACACTCCAGGCATACTCAATACCGGCCGACTACTTCAACAATATGTCATCGATATGTACATCAAGATAGAATCTCAGAGACTTGATTATTACAGAAGCCGCCAACAGTTAATAAGAAGAGAGGAACTTCAAGGCATAATGGACAGTGTCATCTCAGGACATTGCCAAGGATCCAAAATAGGTCAGCGAGTTATTCTTCCAGCATCATTCATAGGTGGTCCTCGTGACATGAGAAGAAGATATGTTGATGCTATGGCTCTTGTGCAAAAATTCGGCAAACCAGATTTATTTATCACTATGACGTGCAATCCTTCATGGCCTGAGGTGAAAAAACACATGCTACCTACTGATGAAGGTCATAACAGACCAGACTTACTCGCTCGAGTTTTCCATGCTAAGCTTGATCTTTTGAAGGACCAAGTCTTCAAGAAACAAATATTTGGAGCAGTAGCAGCTTATACCTATGTTGTTGAGTTTCAAAAACGTGGTCTACCGCATACTCATTTCCTCATAATCTTAGAGGCAGCTTCAAAACTTTATTCCACGGAATCCTATGATAAAATCGTGAGTGCAGAAATTCCAGATATAACAGCAAATCAACATTTATTCAGAATGGTTCGAAAGCACATGATCCACGGTCCTTGCGGAGCACAAAATCCAGATAATGTTTGTATGCAAGGAAATCAGAAGAAAAGATGCAGAAATAATTACCCAAAATCATTTGCTCAGACAACCTTTCATGGAAAGAATGCGTATCCTACTTATCGAAGGAGAAATGATGGACAGAAAATAACTGTTCGTGGCCATCAGCTTGATAACAGATGGATAGTTCCAGACAACAGATACTTATTGGCAAAATTTGATTGCCACATAAATGTCGAAATCTGTTCCACTGTGAAAGCTGTCAAATATATATACAAATATATATACAAGGGTCATGATAGGATTCATTTCAGAGTAAACTCAGATGCTCCTGCTCAAGACAATAATAGCTCCCAACCTCTTCCAATCGATGAAATAAAGGACTTCCAATCAGCTCGATGGGTGTGTGCAGTTGAAGCAATTTGGAGAGTGTACAGATTTAACCTCAGTGAGATCCACCCTTCTGTAATTCATCTCCAGCTCCATCTACAAAACTGTCAGTCCATGAGTTTCACACCTGATCAAGACCTACGAGATGTAATCAGAAACAAGTATACAAAAAGAACTATGTTAACTGAATTCTTTTACATGAATTCTGTGGATGAGTTAGCTCAGCATCTTAAGTGCACATACAAAGAATTCCCAGAGCACTTCGTTTGGTACCCCGGAAGAAAAAAATGGGAACCTAGAAAGCAAAAGGACTGTATTGGCAGAATTGTCACAGCAGGTATAAAAGAAGGAGAACGTTATTTTCTTCGACTACTCCTAACACATGTGAAAGGCCCCAAATCATTTGAAGACCTCAAGACAGTGAATGGAACATACGTAAACACATTCCGTGAAGCAGCAATTCTCAGAGGATACTTTGAATCAGATACATCGCAAGAAGAATGCCTTGAAGAAGCCAGTTCATATCAAATGCCATACATATTGAGAAGGCTGTTTGCAACTTTGCTGGTACACTTTCCTCCATTAAATGCTAGAAAGCTATGGGAGAAATTTGAACATTGTCTATCAGAAGATTTCATAAAAATACCAGATATATCAACTGATGAAACACGATACAAGGTTCTAGAACAGATAAACAATTTTCTTGAATCTATGGGAAGAGATATTAACTCATATGCTCTGGTTCCATATCCTTTGAATTTTAATGATCTGAACAAGAGCACGAGGGACACAATAGCAGAGACAAGGATCACTGTGCTAGAGTCTGATCTGCAAAAAATTGATCTGTTAAACAATGATCAGAAAACTGCCTTTGATATAATCACTCATGCAGTCTTCCAAAAGAAACATGGATGCTTTTTTGTTGATGGTCCAGGTGGAACCGGAAAAACTTTCCTTTATCGAGCATTATTAGCTGAGGCAAGATCCAAAGGATTCATTGCACTGGCTACAGCATCATGCGGAGTAGCAGCTTCAATATTGCCCGGTGGGAGAACAGCTCACTCAAGATTTAACATACCATTAGATACAACAAAAAATAAGAATTGCAGAATCAGCAAGCAAAGTTCGTCAGCAGAACTTCTGCAAAAAGCCAGCCTTATAATTTGGGATGAAGCTCCGATGATAAATAAAGGTTCAATAGAAGCTGTTGATAGATTACTCCAGGATCTAATGGACTCAAACGCCTTATTTGGATCTAAAGTGATCGTTTTCGGAGGAGATTTTCGACAGGTATTACCAGTTGTTCCTAAAGGAACAAAATCAGAATTCATTGATGCCAGCATAGTCAACTCATATATATGGCCACACCTTCATAAGCTTCAACTTACAGAAAACATGAGAGCAAGGGATGATCCAGAATTCATTGAATATTTGCTTCGTGTTGGAAATGGAACAGAGCCTACTGTCAACAACGACTGCATACAAATACCTCCATCAATGCTGATAAGATATACAAATGATGAAGATTCAATCAAACAGCTGACTACCACAGTATTCCCAGATTTGTCAATATTCTCTCATCATGATTTCTCAGCTGTAAATTGTGCTATACTCACAACAAAAAATGAGTTTGTTGATCAGATTAATCAGCAGCTGATACATGATATGTCTGGTTGCATTCAAGAATACATTAGCCGAGACAAATGTATTGAAGATTCTGACCAAACAATCATGGAGGACTTCATAAATGCCCTAACACCAAATGGATTTCCACCTCACAAATTGATTCTCAAGCCAAACACTCCAATTATGCTCCTCAGAAACATAGATCCGCCCCAAGGACTATGCAATGGAACAAGGCTCATCTGCAAATCCTTAAAGTCCAATGTCATATATGCTACAATAAGTTGTGGAGAATTCACTGGCAAGGAAGTCTTCCTTCACAGAATCTGCTTCAGAATAGAAAATGATCCAGAGTCGCCAGTATCTTTTGAAAGAATACAATTTCCCATTCGACCATGCTTCGCTATGACTATCAATAAAGCTCAAGGGCAGACTCTAGATTTCGTGGGAATATATTTACGTGAACCAGTTTTTTCACACGGCCAGTTATATGTAGCAATGTCAAGAGCTAAGAACAAGAGTTCAATAAAAATTCTGATCAAACCAGCTATATTTAGCACTGGAGAAGACTCAAGAACACATAATGTAGTATATAGAGAAGTATTAGATTTGGCAAATGAATAACTTTCTTATCCATTCATGCGCATATGGTTCTATAGCATACATTAAGAATTCTGTTCTCATATTTCTGCTCAGAAACTACCCATTACTTGCTCTTCTGAATTACAGGATGACAGAAAAGTGATAGGTTTTGCTGAAATCGTTCCCGGACTTCAATACTGGACAACGATAGCCCAAGTCCTTGACAAGCAGAAACCTCTACTATCAAAAGCAGGAAATCGTTATCAGAAGCTTACTCTGATTGATAACCAGGTAAACACATGAATAAATTCTGTCACAGAATTATTATATCTCACTGTACCCATTCGCATTCTAATCAAAACCAAATTTCATGTATAGGGAATTACAGTGGAAGCTATGATATACAAGTCAGATATAGAATTCTTCCGCAACCACTTCAACTTGTACAAACGTTACATGATATCCAATGCAAGAGTTGAATACACTCCGCTGGAATACCGTGCACATGAAAATCAATGCACCTGGTATATTGACAACTCTACCATTGTCCAAGCAATCGATGAAGCAAGCCCTCCAGAAATTCCCTCTGTTTTCACATTCACACCTTTCAGAAGATTCTATCAACATATTGATGACACTTCAGACATAGGTAATGCACAGGAGTTAAATTCAGCTTTATAATACTCAATACATTACTATTTAGTTTACCTCTAATAAATGACAAAAACAGATACCCTTGGCATTGTTGCACAAGTTCATCCACGAAATCACAGAGGCCCTACCCCAACCAGAGAAATTGTCATCATAGATAACAGGTAACTTGCATGATTTATCAGCCAATGGCTTTGCAGAGAACACAATCTTCATTTCAATACATATACAATAATGCGGCATAAATATCTAACCAACTATATTGCAGCTTCATGCCAGTCATCCTAACCTTGTGGGGTGAGCATGAAACAGATGAAGGGCAGACTATTGCAAATATCATTCAATCAATGCCACTCATTGTCGCACTTCGAGTGAAGGTCTCATCCTATCACAGTAAGTAAATCTCAAAATATTAGAACTAAATCTTTTACACAATCCATCATCTTTTAATACACATAATGCTCCAGCTCTGAATCTATCAACAAAGTTTGGCTCAAGTATTTTGGTTAACCCTCCTATACAACAAGGTGCCTCACTGAAACAATGGTAACCACTTGCTCTCATACAAACCCACCAACTATTGTCATACAAATATCTCTAAAATAGTTTAATAGCTAATCATCACCATCTGCTTATAAGGGCTGTGGAAAACAAGTCACAAATTACTGAGCTCATTGCACAAAAGGCATACTGTGATCGAGCAAAACTCCTACCACAACCCTCAGAAGATGAGCTCTGCACAATCGCAGACTTCCTCAAATTCCCAACGGTAAGATTCTACAACTCTAAAGTCCATACTTCTCTACTGCTCATATCTGCCACAGAATCAAGCAGCTGATAATGTATTTTGTTCTCAGAAAAAAGCTTACTGGATTCAAGGAACTCCACGATTTCTCGACAGAAGCCAGCACCTATGGTATAATGCATGCTCAAACTGTCACAAATCATTCAGAGCAAAACCACTCTGGAAAATTGTCTGCACCTCCTGCAACAAGCAAGTGAATGTCGTTCCAAGGTAACTAACAAAACAACAATATCATAAATTATTCCACCACACATCACTGCACTAATATCTAATCCCAATTGCAGATGTAGATTAACCATAGAGCTGGCTAACTACTCTGGAATGCTCACACTTGATCTATATGACAATGATGCAGAGCAACTATTGCCCTTCACTCTGCTTGAAATTCAAGAACTTGAAGACAAGGTTAGTATATCGCCAGCACTAAAATTTATTAACCACCAGTTATATAAGAACTGCAACACATTGTATCAACTAATACTCAAATATCAATATTACAGCACCAACTCAACTACATTGCTATTGAACAAGCTATTGAAAACACCATTCTCACTTGCTTTGTGAAAAAAATGATGGGAAACCGTGGATCCGGGGACACAGAAAAATACACAGCCATAATAGTGCACAAAGCAAATGCTCCAGAAATCATATCAAAGATTCCTACAACCCCAGCATCGATTGCTACTTCCTCCACATGCGCTTCCTCGACTCCAGGACCATCAACTGCAGAAGCTGTCCCAAAACACTCAACTTTTGACAGTGAGTTATTCACAGCTCTCAAAATTACAGAAAGTCCAACTAAGAGACAACGCACTGACGTGACTGATATGGAGCAGTAGAATGTAATATCCTTACTTAAACTTTTGATACACCTTTTGAACATCTGATCATTAGCAATCTCCAATATTGTATATAACGCTGATGCAGCTAGATAGCTAAAGATCTGAACTAGATCATTCGCTCAGCTTGCCTACGCTTTTGAATATTATGTATATCACAAAAAACTGTAGGCTATGCTTTTTGAAGAGCAACTCTGTAAATTACATCGATGCTATGTTCATAAAATGTACTTCTATCCAGGCTACATGCCATAGCTTCACAAAATCCCCTTCTGTGCAGGCTACTATTTTTTTTTTCTCATCTCTCCCATTTAAATTCCTAAGTATGTCTTGTATATTTTTCTCCTACTGTTTTTTCGTGCCGTAAGTTTATTCATAAAACCATTTGACTGCAGGAAACAACAACTGTTTATTAATTTGAACATATATTTTTTAGTTTGAGTACCGAGTTCGAACAAAGAACTTCAGAACATGAACATATGATTTCTATCAGCATCAGGAATATTTTACCCCAATTCCTTCAGTTTTTTCATCCCGTAAGTTTATTCATAAAACCATTTGACTGCAGGAAACAACAACTGTTTATTAATTTGAACATATATTTTTTAGTTTGAGTACTGAGTTCGAACAAAGAACTTCAGAACATGAACATATGATTTCTATCAGCATCAGGAATATTTTACCCCAATTCCTTCAGTTTCTTCTTTACCCTTTTCTCTTTGTTTTATGTAGTTTACTTATCCGACAAACCTTAACCTTGGAATGATTATGATAAAAACTGGTACAAAATCTACATTCTTTATTCAACTCAAATACTTGAATAGATACATAAACACACTAAAATACTTGAACAGATAACATTCCCAACATCTACAGAAAATAATAACTAAAGCCAATAAAACAAATATACAAAACAAACAAAACATAAACACACTAAACCATAGCACTTCTAACAGCTTTCTTCTGCTCTTCAACCTCAAGCTCCATAGGCTGAGCAATTATTTGAAGAAACGGAAACTCGCCAATATCTCCCAAAACTTCATCCAACACAGCAGCTCTACTAGATTTACGATAAAACTTCTTAAACAAATCATATATCTCATTCCGCAGTAAAATATTATTCGCTGAAGCTCTATCAGAACCAGCCAAAGAAGCATTCTGTCCATCAAATCCACCCAAACTCCCTACAACACCAGCTAATGACAATCTATTAAACAAAACTTCAACATCTGGATGCAAATCACGTAACACCCCAAAACGATTATGACTATAATCCATTTCTAAACGATAATGCTCAACCATAAGAAAAAAAATCTACACACTCTACTTATAGACAATAAAGCACAATATCACCTATATAATACCGCAAAGCTCCAAAGCTTCTGCTCAAAATCACATGCACACAGGATCACAAAGATTCCACAAAGAAAAAACAAACCAATTCACTGCGCACTACACACGCGTCACGCAAAAACAAACCTTATCCATATTATATACAAAACTTGCACACACGTACACGCACAAACTAAAAAAAGGAAACGCAAAAAATAAAGAAACAATTAATAATAAAGAAACAATTCATTCGCACTTATTCACAAAAATTCACACTATTTTATTACTCAATTTAATAATACATAAAAACAAAGCACTACTGCATTATTCAAGTACACTAAAAATAGAGCCAAACCAAGTGAAATTACATAACACATCGCTAACAAACACATTAACTAACACTCAACTTACTAAACACACTACTAAACACAAAAGTCTGCATAAACTCAACAATACTCTCTCAGTCATTGTTACTGCCGGTGCTGTCAAAAGAAGGCGACCGGGACATGAACAACAGTTCCTCGGCTACATCGAACTTGATTCTCGAAGCTATAAGTTCTAACATTGGCAACCTCCTCCCAGCAACCAATCCGCTGTCCAGCACAAGCCCCCACTCTCGCTCCTTATATAAAACCCTAAACAAATCACAAATCTCATTCTTCAGCACCAGATGAGTAACTTGAGATTGAGCTACAGATTCAGCAGGACGATTTCGACAAGAATTTGGCATAGGATAAGCACTAGCAGAACCAATACTCAACCTACTGAGCTCCTCCTCCAGCTCTGGACATGGATCTTGCACTGTTGAAAACACTCGATCATTATGTGCCATATATTCACCTGCAAATCAACAAAGACTGATAAATACTCACTCACCAAATGAACTTAAACTAACTAGCCCTCATTTATATACCAACTAACTCTCAGAATAATCACATCCCCTCAACAGTACATCCCGCACGTGCTTCTTATGTGTATACAAAGCAAAACGATATATATACAAAGAACCACTAACTATACACATATAAATACCAAAAAACAAATCCCACCATCATATCATATAATATAAAAAATACAAATACTATCCGAACATTGAACAAAATTCAAAATAAAAAAAAACACATAAAAAATACTGAATTATGCACAAAAAACTCAAAAAAAAGAAAAATTAGGATAATGCTAAAAGAACCATATCCTATAAACAAAGTTTCTGAAAAAATCCCAAAAACATACTAACACATCAAATAATCCACCAATTTTTAAATACACCAACCTGGCGCCCGCGCATTGCGCGGGATAGCTTACCTAGTACATATACATAAGAAGCACTTTGTCTTTCTACAGTGGTGCTTTTTTCAACCGCAACTCTGCTTCCACGGCTTGTACTTTCGGCTGCTGCTCTTTGCTTCAAACTCTTGTACATTCATTGAACTGGGCAATCTGCACGGACGAATTTGGATTGTTTTTTGTTCTGACGCTTTCAAGAAGCACTTTGTCTCTTTGCTTCAAAACTCTTGTACATTTATTGAAATGGGCATTCATCACGCCGCGAAATAAGTTTCATTTTCATATGTCTGAATACTTCTTAAAAATATATTCTATCACAAATTTTTGAAAACACTGTAAAAAATAACTTATTTAAATGGGATTCATATATCTCTTTATATAGATTTGTATATATTCATAAGTACATGGATAATTACAATTATAGATCACAATTATCTAAAAATTCGTTTGATTTTTTTTTAAATTTTAAAAAAATATTTGTAAACATATTTATGTCTGAATACTTCTTAAAAATATTCTATCAAAAATTTTTGAAAACACTGCCAAAAATAACTGATTCAAATGGGATTCATATATATTTTTATCTGTATATCAATACAATAAGTACATGGATAATTACAATTATACATTGCAATTATCTAAAAATTAGTTTCCATTTTTTTAAGTTTTAAAAAAATATTTGTAAACATATTCTACAAACTATTTTATTTTCAATACTTTGTAAAAACATTCTTATAATTTTTTTCAAAAACACTCTTAAAAGTAATTATTATTATTTTAGATTGAATTTATGTATACGTTTATATATTTGTCTTTCTACATTGGTACTTTTTTCAACCGCAACTCTGCTTCCACGGCTTGTACTTTCGGCTGCTGCTCTTTGCTTCAAACTCTTGTACATTCATTGAACTGGGCAATCTGCACGGACGAATTTGGATTGTTTTTTGTTCTGACGCTTTCAAGAAGCACTTTGTCTCTTTGCTTCAAAACTCTTGTACATTTATTGAAATGGGCATTCATCACGCCGCGAAATAAGTTTCATTTTCATATGTCTGAATACTTCTTAAAAATATATTCTATCACAAATTTTTGAAAACACTGTAAAAAATAACTTATTTAAATGGGATTCATATATCTCTTTATATAGATTTGTATATATTCATAAGTACATGGATAATTACAATTATAGATCACAATTATCTAAAAATTCGTTTGATTTTTTTTTAAATTTTAAAAAAATATTTGTAAACATATTTATGTCTGAATACTTCTTAAAAATATTCTATCAAAAATTTTTGAAAACACTGCCAAAAATAACTGATTCAAATGGGATTCATATATATTTTTATCTGTATATCAATACAATAAGTACATGGATAATTACAATTATACATTGCAATTATCTAAAAATTAGTTTCCATTTTTTTAAGTTTTAAAAAAATATTTGTAAACATATTCTACAAACTATTTTATTTTCAATACTTTGTAAAAACATTCTTATAATTTTTTTCAAAAACACTCTTAAAAGTAATTATTATTATTTTAGATTGAATTTATGTATACGTTTATATATTTGTGTATGTGAATAATAATCAATATATATATAATATAAGCATATGAATAATAATCTTTAATCAATATAATAAGTATATAGTAGATGCATATAAATCAAATATAAGTACATAGATAAGTGTGATTGTAGATAAGTCCCACTTTTATATATGTTAAAAATGTACAAACACGTGTGCATGGAGAAGTACAACTTATGCAAATACATAGATAATTGTGATCTCACAGAAATAGATATGCATGATTTGAACTCAAATACTTTTTCAATTTTACGATGCAAACCCTGATATCTAGCTGCTTAATATCTATGCTATGAATCTGAAAAAGGACAGAAGGGACTTTTTATTATGACCTGATGCTAATCTTTACTTAGCTGTCGACCACTGCATTTTCTTCTGTACCAAATATACACATGGTCTTCATGCAACGTCTTTTATATGCTCTGCTTTCCAGATTGTATAAGAATCTCCTTACCAATTCTTTTCAACTAAATACCTCAAACACCAGGTACTTCAATGTTAGTTGTTTCACAAATTTTTTTTTACTATCTTCTGATATCATTCTGATGTTTTGTTCTACTCATTTCCTTATTGATAGATAAAAAGATCTATGTTTAGTGACTTCAGATTTTTTTTTTAGCTTGCGACAGGTCTGCTTCAGAACTCTGTGCCTTGACTACCGATGGAGGTATTCGTTCACTAGCTCCTTTAACATACTCTTAAGTTTATTCAGTTTATTCAAAGTATTTTGTAACCACTTTTGTAGTTTCTGCTCTGGTATGGTTTACTTATTTCATCCAACAAACTGTGCTCTCTTCCCTGCATGCTTATATGGACAATAAAAATCAGTTGCATTAACTAACAAGCATCATGAATTCCTCTGAGTTATATGCACAAAACGATGATCTCAAAATTCGTGAGAAAAAAAATGAGAGGAATAAAAAAAACAGAGAAAAATTTGCTGGTCTTTCTGTCGAACAAAAGGAAGCTCATCGAAGAAAAAATAGAGAAGCGTATCACAGAAGAAAGATGAGCAAACTGTTGTCCAAGACGCTTGATCCACAATCTGTACAACCTACCAAACAGTGCAACATCAAACCATTTCTCAGACCATCCAGTACCAACAATGATAATAATGGAAATTCGGCAAACCAGATTTATTTATCACTATGACATGCAATCCTTCATGGCCTGAGGTGAAAAAACACATGCTACCTACTGATGAAGGTCATAACAGACCAGACTTACTCGCTCGAGTTTTCCATGCTAAGCTTGATCTTTTGAAGGACCAACTCTTCAAGAAACAAATATTTGGAGCAGTAGCAGCTTATACCTATGTTGTTGAGTTTCAAAACGTGGTCTACCGCATACTCATTTCCTCATAATTTAGAGCAGCTTCAAAACTTTATTCCACAGAATCCTATGATAAAATCGTCAGTGCAGAAATTCCAGATATAACAGCAAATCAACATTTATTCAGAATGGTTCGAAAGCACATGATCCACGGTCCTTGCGGAGCACAAAATCCAGATAATGTTTGTATGCAAGGAAATCAGAAGAAAAGATGCAGAAATAATTACCCAAAATCATTTGCTCAGACAACCTTTCATGGAAAGAATGCGTATCCTACTTATCGAAGGAGAAATGATGGACAGAAAATAATTGTTCGTGGCCATCAGCTTGATAACAGATGGATAGTTCCACACAACAGATACTTATTGGCAAAATTTGATTGCCACATAAATGTCGAAATCTGTTCCACTGTGAAAGCTGTCAAATATATATACAAATATATATACAAGGGTCATGATAGGATTCATTTCAGAGTAAACTCAGATGCTCCTGCTCAAGACAATAATAGCTCCCAACCTCTTCCAATCGATGAAATAAAGGACTTCCAATCAGCTCGATGGGTGTGTGCAGTTGAAGCAATTTGGAGAGTGTACAGATTTAACCTCAGTGAGATCCACCCTTCTGTAATTCATCTCCAGCTCCATCTACAAAACTGTCAGTCCATGAGTTTCACACCTGATCAAGACCTACGAGATGTAATCAGAAACAAGTATACAAAAAGAACTATGTTAACTGAATTCTTTTACATGAATTCTGTGGATGAGTTAGCTCAGCATCTTAAGTGCACATACAAAGAATTCCCAGAGCACTTCGTTTGGTACCCCGGAAGAAAAAAATGGGAACCTAGAAAGCAAAAGGACTGTATTGGCAGAATTGTCACAGCAGGTATAAAAGAAGGAGAACGTTATTTTCTTCGACTACTTCTAACACATGTGAAAGGCCCCAAATCATTTGAAGACCTCAAGACAGTGAATGGAACATACGTAAACACATTCCGTGAAGCAGCAATTCTCAGAGGATACTTTGAATCAGATACATCGCAAGAAGAATGCCTTGAAGAAGCCAGTTCATATCAAATGCCATACATATTGAGAAGGCTGTTTGCAACTTTGCTGGTACACTTTCCTCCATTAAATGCTAGAAAGCTATGGGAGAAATTTGAACATTGTCTATCAGAAGATTTCATGAAAATACCAGATATATCAACTGATGAAACACGATACAAGGTTCTAGAACAGATAAACAATTTTCTTGAATCTATGGGAAGAGATATTAACTCATATGCCTGGTTCCATATCTTTAAATTTTAATGATCTGAACAAGAGCACGAGGGACACAATAGCAGAGACAAGATCACTGTGCTAGAGTCTGATCTGCAAAAAATTGATCTGTTAAACAATGATCAGAAAACTGCCTTTGATATAATCACTCATGCAGTCTTCCAAAAGAAACATGGATGCTTTTTTGTTGATGGTCCAGGTGGAACCGGAAAAACTTTCCTTTATCGAGCATTATTAGCTGAGGCAAGATCCAAAGGATTCATTGCGCTGGCTACAGCATCATGCGGAGTAGCAGCTTCAATATTGCCCGGTGGGAGAACAGCTCACTCAAGATTTAACATACCATTAGATACAACAAAAAATAAGAATTGCAGAATCAGCAAGCAAAGTTCGTCAGCAGAACTTCTGCAAAAAGCCAGTCTTATAATTTGGGATGAAGCTCCGATGATAAATAAAGGTTCAATAGAAGCTGTTGATAGATTACTCCAGGATCTAATGGACTCAAACGCCTTATTTGGATCTAAAGTGATCGTTTTCGGAGGAGATTTTCGACAGGTATTACCAGTTGTTCCTAAAGGAACAAAATCAGAATTCATTGATGCCAGCATAGTCAACTCATATATATGGCCACACCTTCATAAGCTTCAACTTACAGAAAACATGAGAGCAAGGGATGATCCAGAATTCATTGAATATTTGCTTCGTGTTGGAAATGGAACAGAGCCTACTGTCAACAACGACTGCATACAAATACCTCCATCAATGCTGATAAGATATACAAATGATGAAGATTCAATCAAACAGCTGACTACCACGGTATTCCCAGATTTGTCAATATTCTCTCATCATGATTTCTCAGCTGTAAATCGTGCTATACTCACAACAAAAAATGAGTTTGTTGATCAGATTAATCAGCAGCTCATACATGATATGCCTGGTTGCATTCAAGAATACATTAGCCGAGACAAATGTATTGAAGATTCTGACCAAACAATCATGGAGGACTTCATAAATGCCCTAACACCAAATGGATTTCCACCTCACAAATTGATTCTCAAGCCAAACACTCCAATTATGCTCCTCAGAAACATGATCCGCCCCAAGGACTATGCAATGGAACAAGGCTCATCTGCAAATCCTTAAAGTCCAATGTCATATATGCTACAATAAGTTGTGGAGAATTCACTGGCAAGGAAGTCTTCCTTCACAGAATCTGCTTCAGAATAGAAAATGATCCAGAGTCGCCAGTATCTTTTGAAAGAATACAATTTCCATTCGACCATGCTTCGCTATGACTATCAATAAAGCTCAAGGGCAGACTCTAGATTTGTGGGAATATATTTACGTGAACCAGTTTTTTCACACGGCCAGTTATATGTAGCAATGTCAAGAGCTAAGAACAAGAGTTCAATAAAAATTCTGATCAAACCAGCTATATTTAGCACTGGAGAAGACTCAATAACACATAATGTAGTATATAGAGAAGTATTAGATTTGGCAAATGAATAACTTTCTTATCATTCATGCGCATATGGTTCTATAGCATACATTAAGAATTCTGTTCTCATATTTCTGCTCAGAAACTACCCATTACTTGCTCTTCTGAATTACAGGATGACAGAAAAGTGATAGGTTTTGCTGAAATCGTTCCCGGACTTCAATACTGGACAACGATAGCCCAAGTCCTTGACAAGCAGAAACCTCTACTATCAAAAGCAGGAAATCGTTATCAGAAGCTTACTCTGATTGATAACCAGGTAAACACATGAATAAATTCTGTCACAGAATTATTATATCTCACTGTACCATTCGCATTCTAATCAAAACCAAATTTCATGTATAGGGAATTACAGTGGAAGCTATGATATACAAGTCAGATATAGAATTCTTCCGCAACCACTTCAACTTGTACAAACGTTACATGATATCCAATGCAAGAGTTGAATACACTCCGCTGGAATACCGTGCACATGAAAATCAATGCACCTGGTATATTGACAACTCTACCATTGTCCAAGCAATCGATGAAGCAAGCCCTCCAGAAATTCCCTCTGTTTTCACATTCACACCTTTCAGAAGATTCTATCAACATATTGATGACACTTCAGACATAGGTAATGCACAGGAGTTAAATTCAGCTTTATAATACTCAATACATTACTATTTAGTTTACCTCTAATAAATGACAAAAACAGATACCCTTGGCATTGTTGCACAAGTTCATCCACGAAATCACAGAGGCCCTACCCCAACCAGAGAAATTGTCATCATAGATAACAGGTAACTTGCATGATTTATCAACCAATGGCTTTGCACAGAACACAATCTTCATTTAATACATATACAATAATGCGCATAAATATCTAACCAACTATATTGCAGCTTCATGCCAGTCATCCTAACTTGTGGGGTGAGCATGAAACAGATGAAGGGCAGACTATTGCAAATATCATTCAATCAATGCCACTCATTGTCGCACTTCGAGTGAAGGTCTCATCCTATCACAGTAAGTAAATCTCAAAATATTAGAACTAAATCTTTTACAATCCATCATCTTTTAATACACATAATGCTCCAGCTCTGAATCTATCAACAAAGTTTGGCTCAAGTATTTTGGTTAACCCTCCTATACAACAAGGTGCCTCACTGAAACAATGGTAACCACTTGCTCTCATACAAACCCACCAACTATTGTCATACAAATATCTCTAAAATAGTTTAATAGCTAATCATCACCATCTGCTTATAAGGGCTGTGGAAAACAAGTCACAAATTACTGAGCTCATTGCACAAAAGGCATACTGTGATCGAGCAAAACTCCTACCACAACCCTCAGAAGATGAGCTCTGCACAATCGCAGACTTCCTCAAATTCCCAACGGTAAGATTCTACAACTCTAAAGTCCATACTTCTCTACTGCTCATATCTGCCACAGAATCAAGCAGCTGATAATGTATTTTGTTCTCAGAAAAAAGCTTACTGGATTCAAGGAACTCCACGATTTCTCGACAGAAGCCAGCACCTATGGTATAATGCATGCTCAAACTGTCACAAATCATTCAGAGCAAAACCACTCTGGAAAATTGTCTGCACTCCTGCAACAAGCAAGTGAATGTCGTTCCAAGGTAACTAACAAAACAACAATATCATAAATTATTCCACCACACATCACTGCACTAATATCTAATCCCAATTGCAGATGTAGATTAACCATAGAGCTGGCTGACTACTCTGGAATGCTCACACTTGATCTATATGACAATGATGCAGAGCAACTATTGCCCTTCACTCTGCTTGAAATTCAAGAACTTGAAGACAAGGTTAGTATATCGCCAGCACTAAAATTTATTAACCACCAGTTATATAAGAACTGCAACACATTGTATCAACTAATACTCAAATATCAATATTACAGCACCAACTCAACTACATTGCTATTGAACAAGCTATTGAAAACACCATTCTCACTTGCTTTGTGAAAAAAATGATGGGAAACCGTGGATCCGGGGACACAGAAAAATACACAGCCATAATAGTGCACAAAGCAAATGCTCCAGAAATCATATCAAAGATTCCTACAACCCCAGCATCGATTGCTACTTCCTCCACATGCGCTTCCTCGACTCCAGGACCATCAACTGCAGAAGCTGTCCCAAAACACTCAACTTTTGACAGTGAGTTATTCACAGCTCTCAAAATTACAGAAAGTCCAACTAAGAGACAACGCACTGACGTGACTGATATGGAGCAGTAGAATGTAATATCCTTACTTAAACTTTTGATACACCTTTTGAACATCTGATCATTAGCAATCTCCAATATTGTATATAACGCTGATGCAGCTAGATAGCTAAAGATCTGAACTAGATCATTCGCTCAGCTTGCCTACGCTTTTGAATATTATGTATATCACAAAAAACTGTAGGCTATGCTTTTTGAAGAGCAACTCTGTAAATTACATCCATGCTATGTTCATAAAATGTACTTCTATCCAGGCTACATGCCATAGCTTCACAAAATCCCCTTCTGTGCAGGCTACTATTTTTTTTTCTCATCTCTCCCATTTAAATTCCTAAGTATGTCTTGTATATTTTTCTCCTACTGTTTTTTCGTGCCGTAAGTTTATTCATAAAACCATTTGACTGCAGGAAACAACAACTGTTTATTAATTTGAACATATATTTTTTAGTTTGAGTACGAGTTCGAACAAAGAACTTCAGAACATGAACATATGATTTCTATCAGCATCAGGAATATTTTACCCCAATTCCTTCAGTTTTTTCATCCCGTAAGTTTATTCATAAAACCATTTGACTGCAGGAAACAACAACTGTTTATTAATTTGAACATATATTTTTTAGTTTGAGTACGAGTTCGAACAAAGAACTTCAGAACATGAACATATGATTTCTATCAGCATCAGGAATATTTTACCCCAATTCCTTCAGTTTCTTCTTTACCCTTTTCTCTTTGTTTTATGTAGTTTACTTATCCGACAAACCTTAACCTTGGAATGATTATGATAAAAACTGGTACAAAATCTACATTCTTTATTCAACTCAAATACTTGAATAGATACATAAACACACTAAAATACTTGAACAGATAACATTCCCAACATCTACAGAAAATAATAACTAAAGCCAATAAAACAAATATACAAAACAAACAAAACATAAACACACTAAACCATAGCACTTCTAACAGCTTTCTTCTGCTCTTCAACCTCAAGCTCCATAGGCTGAGCAATTATTTGAAGAAACGGAAACTCGCCAATATCTCCCAAAACTTCATCCAACACAGCAGCTCTACTAGATTACGATAAAACTTCTTAAACAAATCATATATCTCATTCCGCAGTAAAATATTATTCGCTGAAGCTCTATCAGAACCAGCCAAAGAAGCATTCTGTCCATCAAATCCACCCAAACTCCCTACAACACCAGCTAATGACAATCTATTAAACAAAACTTCAACATCTGGATGCAAATCACGTAACACCCCAAAACGATTATGACTATAATCCATTTCTAAACGATAATGCTCAACCATAAGAAAAAAAATCTACACACTCTACTTATAGACAATAAAGCACAATATCACCTATATAATACCGCAAAGCTCCAAAGCTTCTGCTCAAAATCACATGCACACAGGATCACAAAGATTCCACAAAGAAAAAACAAACCAATTCACTGCGCACTACACACGCGTCACGCAAAAACAAACCTTATCCATATTATATACAAACTTGCACACACGTACACGCACAAACTAAAAAAAGGAAACGCAAAAAATAAAGAAACAATTAATAATAAAGAAACAATTCATTCGCACTTATTCACAAAAATTCACACTATTTTATTACTCAATTTAATAATACATAAAAACAAAGCACTACTGCATTATTCAAGTACACTAAAAATAGAGCCAAACCAAGTGAAATTACATAACACATCGCTAACAAACACATTAACTAACACTCAACTTACTAAACACACTACTAAACACAAAAGTCTGCATAAACTCAACAATACTCTCTCAGTCATTGTTACTGCCGGTGCTGTCAAAAGAAGGCGACCGGGACATGAACAACAGTTCCTCGGCTACATCGAACTTGATTCTCGAAGCTATAAGTTCTAACATTGGCAACCTCCTCCCAGCAACCAATCCGCTGTCCAGCACAAGCCCCCACTCTCGCTCCTTATATAAAACCCTAAAAAATCACAAATCTCATTCTTCAGCACCAGATGAGTAACTTGAGATTGAGCTACAGATTCAGCAGGACGATTTCGACAAGAATTTGGCATAGGATAAGCACTAGCAGAACCAATACTCAACCTACTGAGCTCCTCCTCCAGCTCTGGACATGGATCTTGCACTGTTGAAAACACTCGATCATTATGTGCCATATATTCACCTGCAAATCAACTAGAAGAGATATCATCCTTGTCACATGAGATCAACCTTTTCATCTTTGCTTCTCAATCTTCATCCAAATCTAACTATAAATACAAGATGAATAAACTACACTAACTGCTCTATGCTAATGAACTAAGAAAAACTAGTGAAAACTACATTTTTGTGAAGTTTCTCTACCCTTCCAAAGTTATCAAAATGGTTCTCCAAGGCAGCTATTTATAGAGAAATTTCTTGCAATAAACAAGGTGTTAAATCACATCTTGAGCCCATAAACAAGTTAGAATGAGTTGTAAAGCTTCTTTTGCAGCTATCTTGGGCTGTTTCCATCGATATTTTTGCAGGAAAAAAGGACCAAAAAGTTTGTGTGAATAAAATATGTAGAACCCTAATATTTCCCTTTTGAAAATGAAAAGAATTTGTTACCTATCACTGAGGAGGGTTTCATTTCATATATATAAACGTGCGTTTGTGTGTATTAAGTATTTTCGTGTGAGTTTATATATATATATATTCATTGGAAGTACGGACAAACACGGCGTGTGAGCTTGGAAAAGAAATTTTTGTTAAAATTGCTTGGTACCAAATCCGGCCGAGAATCCAGCCAGTTTTTGGCCGGATTGTTGGCTGGATTGTTTGAGAGTTTTGGAAAAAATTTTGGTTTCGTGTTTGCCTTATATCCGGCCTGGAATCTGGCCAGAAAACGGCCGGATTGTGACGTGGCCAGTATCCGGCCAAGAATCCGGCCGGAAATCCGGCCAGATCCTGGCTGGATTCTGATGGGACAGCAGTTTGACCGACTGTTTTCCCTTCCTTCTTATCTTGTTTTGGACCAAAAATATCTTCATTTCTTCTCCCTCTTGGCTGGCAGCCTTGAGAGAAAAAAACCCAAGAAAGCTCTTCTTTTCTATCTTTTATTTTTGCTCAAAACTTGAGATTTCACCGTTAGATTTTAAATCTATTCCGTACAAGTGCTAGCTAGGAGGGGTTTAAGAGATTGGTGGAGTGATTCTTGGAGGAGGAACTCTAAGCTATCATCTTTCCTTAAGTTTCAAGGTAAACTACCTAGAAATTTCCTTTTACTCCTAATACTTGCAAATTAGTGGATTGGAGAGGTTAAATGCGTAGTTTTGTGGCTAAATTATGGTTTAAGTAGAGGTATGGTGAATTTCTGTTTTTATAGCAAAATTTCTGTCCTCAAATAATGATTAATGTTTGGGCATGATTTGGTAGTTGTTATGAGCAATTTTGAGCTTGAGAATGTTAGTTTTGCTTGCCTTCAAAGAATTTCAGCTTTTGTAGCAAAATTTCCAGTTTTAGGGTTTATATTTTTATCCTTTACTTGGTTGCATTTGAAGGATCTTGTGGCCCTAATTAAAGGTGCTTTATAGCTTGTGATTTATGGGGGAAATTGTGGTGAAATTGAGGAGTGCATTGGTATTGAGGTTTGGTTGGAAAGGTAAGGAAAACTAAGGGAAGTGCTGTCAAAATTTTCGTAAGAGCTCCTGCGCAGTCTTTGGAAATTTGCTATATCTTGATGTAGGAATATCGGAATTGAGTTCCGTTTGTTGCGTTTTAAACTAGATTCATAGGGGTATAATATTTGTAAATTTAAGACCCTGTTTCTGTGTGTACAATTTATGGTAATTTTGCAAAGTTAACTGAAAATTGTATACCTGTACTGTCTTGTGATGGTTAAAGCAGTAACTTGAGGCTTAAATTCGACTGACTTGCGTTCCGAATCTTAAGATGGTGTTTTCTGAAAAGTTATAGCCCTTTGAATGTATTTTCCAACGGTATAACTTTTACTAATTTTGGACTTACAAAACTTGAGATATGATTTTTCATATAGGGTTGCACGAAACTGGAAAAATACTGTTTTCCTAGTAATGATCTTGCTTTAATTTTCTACTTCAGATTTGGAGTTAGGCAATCATTATAGGTAGGGTTTTGAGGTTGTTCATGCCTTTAAGGCCAATTGTTACGCTTTTCACTCCGACGTCACATTTTCTTTGCATTAATGGTTCATTTGGATAGGCACATGACTTGTAACCGAGTTTTACTTGCAAATTTCATTTATTAGGTTTTAGAGTCAAGTCTTAAGTGTTTGCCTTGATTGTTCTAGGAGGTGCCGGTGAGTAAAGCCACACGTGGAAGGGAAACTTTTGAAATTATCCTTGTTTGATCTGGTGAGTGTGCCACTCCCTTGCATTGTGGCTTAATTGGTTCATCTGTACTTGAAATTGGTGACATGAATAATTATGAACTCTGTTATTATGAATGAGACGAAGGTGTACTTTATCACACTCGTTCTCTTGCCTATGTTGTATAAACTGAAATTTATTACTCGCACTTGTTATGAACTTGAACCTGTTACTTGCACTTGTTGTAATGTCGTTTGAAAGTGTGTCCAACGACCTTCTTGTTGAACCTGAGCTCAACCTCATGGGGAGTTAATTAAATCGAGCTAGCCAGGGCTTGGTCGAGGTATTTGACAATCCATGAGTGCCTGTTCGTAGGGAATTCTTGAGTATTGAGACTCTTGATTCCGGTATACTCGAGTATTACCACCTTCATTCTTGTTTGGCGTTCCGGCCCGGTAAGGGAGTATGAATGGTGAACGGGATTTGGCGTAAAAGTGGTGTTCTACTGGACTGGTTTTCTTTATGTGAAAGTTGACAGAGGGTCAACGTAGTCGGATCAAATACTGCAACGGGAAATTCGCTCCTGAGAGCCATCTGTATCCTTTCTATCTAAGTTGTTTACTTATCTCCTTATTTGGTACACTGATGTGATTAATTGAGCATGAAGTTCCTTGGTCCTTGACTGTAATTATTTTTGGTACCTCATTGAACTTATACCTCACCCCGTTTCGTTATTCTTATTTTCCTTACAGGAAAATCTTTCGGGAACTATGATATTTGGAAGCATGAGTTGAGCTAGTTATATATTCTTTTGTATAGCTCCTCAATGGATGGAAACCTTGAATGTATTTTGATCAGACAAATTCCCTTTTGATTTGTAAAT